TCTTCGTACGCTTTTTACTTTTCTAAGCTAGTAGATCGAATACTACGACGAAGACCTAGCTATAGTCTAAGGATATACGTAGTTTTTATAGTATATTATAGATTTTTAGATTAAAATAGCCTATTAAGAGAAAGTCGTTTACGACGCTAAGATATATACTATTCTTCTTTATCTAGAATAGCTTAAGAATAATTTCGTATACTAAGTTCGAAATAATATAGAAGAATAATATTTCTTTATAACTATCGATATCGACTTTAACCTTCGCTACTTTAGAAATTTTAGATTATATAGAGTTAAATCCGAAGATCGAACGAGAAGTAATAGAAATACGCTCGAAAGAATAGCGAGAAGCGAAGCGAAAGTTAATTAAATTATACGATAAATAACTAGAATTAATTAGAGTCGATATATAATATTATTTATCTAAAAGTAATAAAACTATAAAGAATTAGTCGTCTATTAAGAATCGAAAAGTCTTTTATTCCTTCTCTATCTTCTTTATACGCTTCTACTAATAACTTCTAGTAGAAGCTACTTTTTTAACGATTCCTTATTATTATCTATAATCTCTAGTACTACTACTTTCTTCTTCGTCTTAGGTTATACGGCGAAAAGAAAAGGATATTTAATAATAAAGTAACTTCGTTAGTTATAGTAAAGATACGCTCCGAGCTTCTTTCTCTAGTTAAGTATCGTTTACGATATCTATAAAGCTCTCTATAGTTCCGCTAAGGACGCTATAGCTTATACCGTTAGCGTTTAATTTATCTTATCTTTCGTACGACTAGTAGTATCGAGTAGATTACTTCTAAATATCTTTTCTTTAGCTTTCTTCTACCGAAGAGCCTCTAGATTTATATTAATTATATAGAGGAGAGTATAGTACTCTCTATAGGTTAATAGAATTAGCGTTATAACGAGGGCGCTCTTTAAGTCGTACGAAAGGTAGTTTAATATAAACGTCTTCTTTACTAAGTCGGTCTAGTCTAGTTCGTTAGCTTCGAGTAGCGTACGATTAAACTCGATAAGAAATACGCTAAAGGACTTTCTATTCTACTTTAGTTAAGAAAGCTTTCGTAATACTTTCTCTATAACGTCGATATCCTTATACGTCGCTTTTAATTAACTAATAAGTTCTTTCGTATTTATTTCGAGGATTAATTATACGAAATTAATCTACGAACTAATCTAAGTAAGGGTATAGCTCCTTAATCTACTATAGAAATACTAAAATCGTACGACTTCGATTTCCTCTTATTTATCGACTATTAATTTAGCTCGAGCTTAAGTAAACTACGACTAAAACTCTAATCTTTTTCTATTAAATTTAGCTAGCTCGGAGAGCTTAGCCTTTCGTCGTATAAAATCGGATTTCTATATAGCGCTCGCCGTCGTAGAAGTCGTTACTTTAGGCGTACGAGCTTATACTCTATTCTATTAGTCGAGTTAATTCTCGAGTACTATTATTCTTTAGTTTTAAGCCTATAAGAACTAGTATAGCTCTACCGCCTACGCTAGAGTAGTTTCCGTTAGTTACTATTCGTTATCTATTTCGTACGCGATACTCTTTCGCTACGTATAATAGGAAGCTTTAAAATAATATAAGGATTTAGCTAGGAATTTAAAATAATTTATCTAACTATTATATAACGAGGATTCTAAAGCTAAAAAGAGAAAAGAAAAGAGAAAATCTATCTACTATACGAATAAATAAAATACTTTTTATCCTCTCCTATAGTAGGTTAGTATAGTTTCCTAGAAGATAATCGATAGAGAGGAATTACGTAGCTTCGGCTATATAGTTATATAGACTAAAGGTATACTATAAGTAATCGCTCTAGGGCGTACTCTAGAGCTTTATACGAGTTTAATTCGTAATAATTATAGCTTAATATTATCTACTATAGTATTAAGTATATATTTAATTTTAACGTTCGCGAGTAAAAGGTTAATTAAATTTATTACCTTATATTAACCGCTACTATATACTTCTAATACGGCCTTCTCGTTCTAACTATCTCTACTACTATTACTATAAATAGCGCTATCTATAAACGTCGATAATATATTAACGATACTTTCTACTACTCCTTCTACCGACTATAGTAACCTTAAAGGCCCTACCGACTATAATTTATCTAATACTAGTAGAGAGGTAATCGTAGATAGTTTCTTATTACCTAACTATACTAGCTATAAAGGCGTTAATTAGGGTTATATTCTAGACTATTATATATATAACTATAGAAAAAGGCTACGTACGAGTTAAGTATAGAAGTATAGATACGATATCGAAAAAAATAGCTTCGGCTATCGCTTCTAGCTCTATAGAGAGTACTACTAAAAAAAGGCTATAATTACTTATATATATAATACCGTATCTATAAGTTAAGTAAATAGCTATATAGAAGATATTTACTATATTAATAAAGACGAGCTAATATTACCTTAAAGGAAGAAATAATATATATTCTTTAATCTAGCTAATTTAAATCCTTATCGACTAAAGAATTAAGTCGTAATAAATACTTTTATTACCTCGCTCGATCCTCTATAGTTTTAACGTTTACTTATACGCTAGGTAGTCTATAATAACGTTCTATTTAATAAGCTTAAAAGTCGATACTTCCGCGAACTTATAGAATATATAAATAGCGCTATTATTAAGTCCGAAAGTCTTCCTATATATAATATAATTCGTAAATAGATTATATAGTTTTTTAATAGTTATAAAGATATCGTAACTAAGTTACTTAGCTACTTATTTAGTAAAGTTAACGTTTCCTTCGACGCTTAGTTTTCTCGTAAGTTTACCTTTCTACTCGACCTTACTATATACTTTCTCGACGAAGAAGATAAGCTTCGAATATTTCTTCTAGGCCTTTCGTAAATCGAGGACTATTATACGAGCGAAAACCTTATAGAACGCGTTAATAAAATTATTAACGAATTTAGCTTTAAGGAATATATCGAATACTTTATTATAAATAACGCGAATAATAACGATATATATCTCGAAGAACTTAGTATCGAATTTAGCTTTAATAAGAAGTATCGACGGCTTCGCTACTATAGATATATTATTAACTTCGTCGCTCGATCGATACTCTTTAGTACGAATACGGACGCCTTCGAGGAAGAATACTAAGCCGATAAAGAAGTTTAAGATAAGATAAGGTTATAAAAGTCGAGGAGCCCTATTAGTAAGCTATATAATATTATTTACTAGGTATAGAGATCTAGCTAATATATTAGTAAACTCTACTAGCTTTAGCTTATTAAGAATATCGCCTTAAATCTAGAAGATAAAATAATCTATAATATTATTATAAATAATACTTTCCGCTAGAACTTCTTTAAGGCGATAATAGAACGAGGCTACCGGCTTCGAAATTTACTCGATACTATAGTCTAAGTAGAAGTAACGAATTAGAACTAATATAAAGCTCGGAGAACTAATAACGAAACGAAACCGATACTAAAGAAGAGTTAAAAGAAGCCGATAATCATTAACGATAAGATATCTACTAAGGACTAGTCGATAATTATAGAGTATCTAGCTATATAGAGTATCTAGCTATATTAAAGCCGTTAAAGATAGCTACTAAACGCCTAGAAGGCCGACCTAAAGAAGGTCGGTTAAATCTAGCTACGTATTACCTATACTAATAGACTTTAGGTAAATTCGGTACGATATAGGAGGTTCTACTAATAATAGAGTAGCTACTAAAGTATTTAGAAGAGATAAAGATCTAATACGAGCGAGATAAAGAACTATACTTACGAATTAATTATAACCTTAGCTAGATAAAGATAGATAAATACTATATCCTTACTAAGGATAGCCCGATTTACCTAGCCGCTCTTATCTTCTATTCTACCTTCTACTAGTTAATCGTCGAGTTATAATAGATAGATTATTCTAATTAGTTAGTAAGAGGTAAGATAGCCGTATAAGCGCTATAGGAGGAGTATCGAAAGCTCCCTATCGAGTAGGATACGATACCTAAATAGCCTACTATTATAAAGAAGATAACCGATCTAGATAACTTTATAGCCGTAATTAGGAAGCTTAGTACTTAGCCTCTACCTTTACTATCGCCTATACGCGATAAGTATATAGAATAGGTAGCTACTACCGATCTAGGCGATTATTTAGTAGATAATTTAATTTAATACTAGCTTCTTCGAAGACGGTAGTATTTACGCCTCTTTCGTATATTAATTCATCTCTTTTTAATTTTCGCGATATCTTCTAAACCGGAACGGATATTTAGCCTTATAGAATAGATAGTTATACCTTAAAGAAGCTAGCTAAAAGTAGATATTATAGGAGCGGCTTAATATATATCGCCTTAGGAGAAGAGCCTAGTTACTAAGAATTAGCGATCTAAATATCTAAATAGATCTAAATCTTAGTAAATTAAATTAGATTAAATTAAATGAATACTTATTGATACTAAATTAAATTAAATTGGGGGGTATAATTTGATTTGATTTATTTGTTGAGAAGGCTAACTAGAATGGGCTAGCTTAAATAGAAACGCAGGTCAAAGAGCTAGACTAGAGAGTTAGAAAGAAGTTGGGATAGGCACGGACGGCTAAGTAATTGGCTACTGTTTTCCAGTGTCCCGAAAGACCTACTAGTCACAATCCAATTACACTCGGAGCTAGGATAATGATACCTAGTACACTCTACTTGAAAGCGCAGAACTAGCAGTCCAACCTCCGCGGCTCTTTTCCGCTGTTGAACCGACATCACTTAGTTCAAGGTTTAACGCGGGAGGCGAATCTGCATATCACAGTACGCGTACCTAGTTAGTGGTATATCCGTACCTCAGCTGGAGCCGGGTCACAGATGTATGCTAAGCAGCTGGGCACATTATAGTTCGTACACCAGTCGAGATGATTAAGTACATCTCATATGTATGTTGTGCCTTGACCTTGTTCCGAAGATTTATCTTTGATAGTGTTGGAATCGTGATCCACTAGATCCAATGTCTGAGATTGCAGACGTGGCACCTAAAGTGGCGGCGGCCGTTGCGCCCCAGCCAGAGGAAAGCATTCAGATGCAGGCGAACGGAGTCAGCCGCAGTAATCAGGTTATCTTGCAAAAGTATGAGCAAGAACGTAACAAGCGTCTGCGCGACGACGGGAATGCACAGTATATTGACCCATCGCTTCATCCCAAGCTTCGCCAGTTTCAGCAAGATGTTTGGGCCAAAAGCCTCCCAAATCCAGGACTCGATAGAGCACGGAATGGAGACAAACACAAAGTCGTACTACTCGGAGCTGGATTCGGTGGTTTGTCAACGGCTGCTCGTTTGAAGCAGGCTGGCATCGATGATGTTGTGCTACTTGACATTGCTGGTGGGTTTGGCGGTACCTGGTATGTAAGTTTCATCCGTCTCAATTGGGCCATGTAAGCGGTAGAATGGGGTTATTCACGTTGGAAATTTAGTGGAATCGCTACCCTGGGTTGATGTGTGATGTCGAAAGTTACATATACATGCCTTTACTGGAAGAAACAGGCTATATTCCCAAGCACAAGTACTCCAGTGGCCACGAGCTACGGCAGTATGCCGAGCTTCTTGCCGATACGTTCCAGCTTCGAGACAAGGCCATCTTCCAGGTCAAGGTTGAGACAGTCAAGTGGGATGATGAGAATAATCATTATGTCATTGACCTGACACGACTAGATGGGAAGGGAAGTCTTCAGATTCTCGCCGATTTCATCGTGAGCAACTGTGGTGCGATCAATTTGCCCAAGATGCCCGATCTACCAGGCATGCTTGACTTCGCTGGTCACAGCTTCCACACTTCACGATGGGATTACAGCTACACGGGTGGAGCCCCAGAGAATCCAGACTTGACTAACTTACAGAACAAACGCGTGGGGATTATCGGGACAGGTGCTACTCTCCTTGATCTCTCTCGTGGAAAGATATTACTAACTTTATTAATTTGTCTAGGCGCAACCGCGGTCCAGGCAGTATCACACTTGGGTAAATGGGCAAAAGAACTCTATGTATTCCAGCGTACCCCATCGTCCGTGGATGTGCGGAACAATCGTGCTACTGATCCCGAATGGTTCAAAAAAGAAGTTGCTGGGAGTGGACATGGCTGGCAACTTCGTAGACAAGAAAATTTTAACCTCCACGTTGCCGATGTTGACCCAGGCGTCGATATGGTGGACGATGCGTGGACCAGTATGCGAACTTTCAGCTATGTGGTCGGCAATCCTAAGATAAACCATATGAAAGATGTTCCTAGCTTTCTTGCAGAAGCTGGGGCCCAGGATTTTCCTCGCCAGGAAAGGATCCGGAAACGGGTCGAAGAAATCGTGAAGGACAAGGCAACGGCAGAGAAGCTAAAGCCTTGGTACTCAGGTTGGTGTAAGAGACCTTGTTTCCACGACGATTATTTACCAACATTCAATCGACCGAATGTACACCTCGTCGACACAGATGGGAAAGGGGTCGACAAGGTCACCGCAAATGGAGTTGTCGTGGCTGGAAAAGAATATCCACTGGATCTGCTGATATTCGGTACGGGATATTGGATCAAGGGTGCCGAGAGTCCTTGTGGGAAGGCCAATTTCAAAGCCTACGGCAAAGGCGGTGTCTCGATGGACGACAAATGGGCCGAGCAGATCACCACTCTCCATGGCCTCATTACAAATGGGTTCCCTAATTACTTCTTCCCCGGCCCAAATCAGTCTGGTGCTGCGGCAAACATGGTGTACGGGATGTCCACCTTTGCCGACCACCTGGCCTACATTCTAACCGAAGCCTACAAGAAGTCCTCTGGTCGGCCAGTCCTGATCGAGGGAGAACCTGACGCCATGGAGGACTGGTCCCAGCAGATTGTATCCAAAGCAGTCGCCTTTGCGGCGCTAGGCGGATGTACACCGAGTTATCTAAATGGCGAAGGCGCTGTAGGCAAACCCATGGCTCCTGAAGTCATGGCAAAGGCAGCTAGAGCCGCTGTTTGGGGTGAAGGTGTACAGAGCTATATTGACATCGTAACTAAATGGAGAGCTAACGGCGACCTGAAAGGACTCAAGATCACTCCTTCAGTGACAGCTTAAACGATAGGTGAAGCGTTCGAGGGGTAACTTTTGTTCAATAACGGTGGTGCAAGATATACATCTAACCCTCTCTGCTGAGCAAGAAGATAGAAAGCCATGGCGAGTTGCATTTATCTCCCATCATTCATGATGTGTAGTCTTCTGTAGAGATCTCGAATCATTCATTCAGCCGACCCTGACACTGAAGACTCCAGAGCTGCGACCGGATATCTCTAAATTGGCAATTGCTTTTCCAAATTCATCTACCAGCCATGATGCCGGGTGTTGTAATCTTGGTTCTCCTAATGCAAACGCGATCACAAAGAGATTGCCGAGCTCCATCGGAAATGATAGGCATGATGCCATGTATACAGGAAATCTCTGTCACTTGCGAACACACTTGACCACTAGGGGCCATGACTTCCCTCCTCTTTGTGAGTCCTGTGCATGGAACGAGGACCTCCGACGAACCCTACCTGCTTTCCACCTTTCGGGGTGCACGCTGGCCCACTGAGCGCTTGAATTACCTTACTACCACCCCCCTCCGGCGATCCGCGACCCGTGCCTCTCACCACAGGCTTCGAACGATACTTAGATTCACTATGTACGAAGAACAAAGACCATGCACACTCGCAGAACACTGTGCCGCAGAGGAAAGACCAGGCGCATCAATCCCAGCGAATACCCTGTTTTGATCACGGATGCCAAGGTCGTAACTTCTCTTCGTGGAGCAACTATATGCGACAAATAAAAGAGCAGGCTGGCTATACTAAGATCTTCGTCTGTGATCGCTGCGGTAGGAGTTTCACACGGGTTCAGGCTAAGAATGCCCATATAGAGCGAAAGCGGTGTACAAGATATATCGCTCAGAGAAGGATCGCGCATTTGAAGTCTGCTCTTATTGTTGTGAATTACGGCAGTGGAAGCATATATTTTTTCTTATCTTCCTACTCTCTCAGAATGTAGAGAGTATAAATACAGTGAGAGTAATACTCTAGAAGCTTCCTAACAATTTCCAAGCACGCGGAATAATTCTATAAGGCTTTCATCAATATCATGATAGTTGGTTGAGCCTCATATCACAACACTTATTAATGGATCCGCTTAGATCATCTCATATAATGATTTACTTCTAGACCAATCCATCTCTTCAAAGGACATTCGAATCGCCGAAAGTTGGCGGGTCGGACGGTCGAGAAGGACGCTTATCACGGATTTTAAGGCGGTAGCGATCTGTGGCAGACGTTGTAATCGAGTAGGTATCTATGTCTACTAAAAGCAGAGTCTGCGCCTACTATATCAGGGCAAGATGCGCTTACTAAGGCCACCGGATAGTGTCCGGCGGCGACGGTTATGTGCCTAACAAAGGCTTTACGGAAATGAATTGTTTTTTATTTCGAGATCTCAATTATTTTGTGGCTTGGAGCTTGCCTTGTTGTCAGCGCTGACGACTAACGGGTCATTCACTCTGGGTCATCACTCTTTGGCTCGACAGCAATGACCTAAGGATCACTCCCAATCCCGAGGTCACTCCTAGACGTTATAGGGCTATATACTCTAATTACTGAGTAAGTATATAAGCATCTATATAACAATCAATTCCGTCAACAAATATGCACGCCATAAATTCTAAAGTTAAACGGCCTTGTCCGGTACTACTACGTCATTATAATTCGTGTAAGTTATAGAGACCTTCTCTCTCTTTAAAGTAACCTAGCCCGTAAGAAACCCTAATCTTATTACTATATCGGATATTAGCGCGTACTACTCCTATTATCCTATATATTATAATTCGAGCTATAAGTAGTTCTAACTAAGGTAGGGTTCCTTAATAGAGTAGGTACTAGAGTATTAACTAAGATAATAAAGAAAATATATAATCGTCGGACTATATCCTAAAACGTAGGTATAGGATTACTAACGAAGTTAACTACGAACTATACTATCTAAGTAAAGGAGCGTATATATATAATACTAGTCTAGACTATAGACTTACTTAAACTATCTTTATAGTCTATAGTCCTCTATAGTCTATCCTCTAGTTACGTAACGTAGCCTCGTTCTCTATCGACTAACTTCCTTATTTCTCTTAAGTATAGGTAGCTTATCCTTAGCGACCCTTCTAGTAACCTAGTTCGTAATACTATCTCCTCCTCTTCCTATTCGTTATCCTTAACGTATATAAGGTAAGTATTATTCGCCCGAGGCGGTCTATCCTCCTCCTTCCTTCCTATAGCTAACTATACTTCCTAAGGCCTCTTTCTCTAAGCCCGAGTAACTCCGATATCTTACCGCTAAAATCGAACTCTTATATTACGAACTAGGTTATAGATAAGGTCGCCGGGATAGGCGCCCTACGTTCTAAGGGATAGCGGATAGCGTAAGGAAGGTTAGCCGATAGAGAACGAGGCTGTATTACGTGACTAGGGGATGCATTAGTATATTAATATAATAGAATAATATAGTAATATACTAAAGTAGTACTTTAAGTATTATATATATACGCTCTTTCACCTAGATAGTATAGTTCGTAGTTAACTTCGTTAGTAATCCTATACCTATATTTTAGGATATAGTCCGACGATTATATATTTCCTTTATTATCTTAGTTAATATTCTAGTATCTACTCTATTAAGGAACCCTACCTTAGTTAGAACTACTTATAGCTCGAATTATAATACTTTAACTACTACTTTAACTACTACTTAATTAATATTAGATATCTATAAGAGTATAAGTAACTTAACGAGAATACTAAGATAATCGATTAATTACTATATAGTCCTTAGAACATCGACTATAAGAACTTAAGGAGTCTAAAAACCTCGTATACGATCCGTATAGCCTCTAAGGTCTTATATACTAGGTCCCTTAGTGTTTTAGGACTAGTCTTAGTATAGAATGGGTGCTTCTAGGGTCTACCGTAGTTCTATCCCGTAATAATATCTAACGTAGGATTATCTCGAATTAAATCCCTACTACCTAGCGTACGTCTACTTAGGCTACGTAACGAGTTAGGCTAAACCTAGTTAAAAACCCGGAACCTAACCTAATAGGGTTAAATTAATTAGGTTTCTAAAATAGCTAAAAACCCAATGGGTTTTTTAATCGGGTTAAAAAAAAGAGGATAGGGTTTAAAACCTAATAGGGCTACTAAGAGTTACTAAAAATTAACTATTTTTAAGAAAAATAGAAATAATTACTATAAATAATATATTTTTTACTAAAAATAGTAATAATCTAAGTAATAATCTCTATTTTTAGTAATTTAGGCTACTAAGACTAAACCTAATAGGGATATAAATTCTATTAGGTTTTTAGTTAATCGGGTTTTTATAAGGACTAAAAACCCTATAGGGCTTTTTGCTCGGGTTATAAAAGGTCTACGAGTTATCTAACCTAACTCGTTACGTAGCCTACGTCTACTTATAGCCTTAAATAATTCTTTAAAGACTAATATTATTTAAGATAGTAGTTCTAACGACGACTTAGACGTAGATATAGTTAACGTACTAGAACTTATTAATATATCTAAGGATAGTATTAAGGTAGAACTATTCTATAGAAATAGAAAGAAGCTAGGATACTTCCTTATATAACTTAAGACTATCTTTAAGCTTAATCTAACTAAGTATACTAGGATAGAAGATAAGGTTATATTCGTAGTAATATACCTTAAAGGAGTAGCGTTCTATTAGTTTAAACTAGTATAGGACGACTACCTTAAGTCCTCTAGTTCCGACGACGAAACTAGAATATATTTTAGGAACTTTATATAGTTCGAAGTAATAATTAAATAGATCTATAGTACGATTAATAAGACTATAGTAGCCTCTCGTACTATATATATTCTTAAATAAATAGAATCTATAGTTAATTATTATTCGGAATTTAAAAAGCTAATAAGAAACTAGAGTATATAAATAATAATATCTTTAAGAATATATTCTATAATAGATTAAAGAAGAAGGTTAGGAAGGAAATAATAGAACGCCTAGGAACGTATAAAGATATAGTAGATAAGTATTACGAGTTAAATCCGTATAAAGCTCTAGAGTACGCCCTAGAGCGATTACTCGTAGTATACCTTTAGGCTATATAACTATATAGTCGAAGCTACGTAATTCCTCTCTATCGATTATCTCCTAGGAAACTATACTAACCTACTATAGGAGAAGGTAGGAAGTATTTCCTTTATTTATATAGTAGATAGATTTTCTCTTTTCTTTTTTCTCCTTAGCTTTAGAATCCTCGTTATACGATAGTTAAACGAATTACTCTAAATTTCTAGCTAAACCCTTATATTATTCTAAAGCTTCCTATTATACGTAGCGAAAGAGTACCGTATACGAAATAGATAACGAATAGTAACTAACGGAAACCGCTCTAGCGTAGACGATAGAGCTATACTAGCTCTTATAGGCTTAAAACTAAAGAATAATAGTATTTAAGAATTAACTCGACTAATAGAATAGAGTACGAGCTCGTACGCCTAAAGTAACGACTTCTACGACGGCGAGCGCTATATAGAAATTCGACTCTATACGACGAAAGGCTAAGCTTTCCGAGCTAGCTAAATTTAATAGAAAAAGATTAGAGTTTCGGTTATAGCTTACTTAAGCTCGAGCTAAGTTAGTAGTTAATAAGTAAGAAGAAATCGAAGCCGTACGATTTTAGTATCTCTATAGTAGACTAAGGAGCTATATATTATAATCCGAGCTATAAGTAGTTCTAACTAAGGTAGGGTTCCTTAATAGAGTAGATACTAGAGTATTAACTAAGATAATAAAGGAAATACTTATTCGTCGGACTATATCTTAAAATATAGGTATAGGATTACTAACGAAGTTAACTATAATCTATCTTAATATAGGTAGCGGGTATATATATATAGTACTAGTAGCTCTCTTAGATCTCGTAGCTCCCCTAGATCTCTTAAGATCCTATAGGATCTAGGGGATCTAGGAGATCTAGCCTTCCCTAGTTACGTAACTTAGCCTCGTTCTCCATCGGCTAACTT